TGTTGTTAAATCAAAATTTATCATTATCATTATTAAATGCCTGAATTAATATCTGAGATAAAACCAATTTTTTTATTACTTTAACATATTTCAAACAATATACTTATATGTCACAAGCAATAATCAGCAAATTCGCTGTGCGCTCTTATAATAATATAAATTAAATACTAGGAATATATAATTAAGCTGCTTTTTCAAGTCTAAATTATTTGTGCCCACTTTAAAAGAGGACTTGCTATTTAAACCGTGCTATTCGGGACAATATAGATACCAATAATTTGTATATAATAATGTATGAATACTTTGAAATGAATAATTTTATTTTGTATTTACCAACATATTAGTATAATGAGATTCCAACAAAAACAAAAACAGAATAATAAAAAATTGTTACGTAATTGCTGATTTGTCAAAATATACTCGCTTGTAATAAGACGTAATAAGGAAAAAATAATACTCAATTGGGCCATTATACAATTACATTCAACAGAGAAAACAACAAATCAATACTTATATTAAAAAGAGGAAAGAATTGTTTTTTTTTTGTTTGAATGGAATACGCTCCAAAAGTACTCGACCGGTTTTAAAATACTTTCACCCATAGGAAACTACACTTTACACCTGTGACTAGGATAAAAACAAAACCACAGAACACGGAATTGTTCTGTGCACATAACCTTATTATATAAAAAAAAATGTAGCTGTAATAAAAAAAAATATTTCAACAAAAAAATGACGAGAATAGTTTTCTTATTTTCGACTATAGTCGTATGTGTTAGAGTTAATATTAAATTAACAGTGCATACCTCGCTTATTTTTAGAGTGCAAATGTGACGGAAGATCCGTCGCGTATCATCCATGATCAGAACTGCCAAAATATACAAAAAATTATGACTGGTTATATATTATAATATTCAACCTCCTACCTTTGACGGACAATCCGTCAGTAAGTCAAGCCTTTAAAATCAACATAAAAAGAATCAGATCTTGTTTTAGCTTATTCATAACATTACGAATATATCTATGAATACTCGAGTAACATATCCACTACTTGCAGACATGTCAAAAACTTTTCAGGGGGCCAATTCTACTAAATAAATTTTGTTTAAATCGAATCGAAAACGGATCGAAACCGAACGAAACCGAATGAAACTACGGTTTTTGATGGTTTTCCTATTCTACAAAGTGACATACGATACAATTTCAGTTCTATTTTAGGTGGAATTGTATCGTATGTAACGTAGTAGAATAGAAAAACCATTAAAAACTGTAGTTTTGTTCGGTTTCGATCCGTTTTCAATCCGATGTAAACAAAATTTATTTAGTAGAATTGGTCCCCAGCTCTGTTTATGATAAGAACATTCCCTTCATTATCTTATAATTCTATTGATTCCCTGTTTGTTTGATTGACACTATTCAATATAACAATCACTTAAGTACCAAAAGAAATATAATTTACATCGAAATATTCGAAATTTATAACTTAACATTACATTCTAACTTACAATCATAAGTTCCTCTTCGATAGCAATTTGTGTAAATTATTCATCGATTAATAAACTGATAGTACCTACAATTCGATAGATATTATAAAAAACAGTACATAGTGTATAGTAGAATTCATAAGATTTTATTTAATTCATCAACTTTGATTTCTGTTTTCTATTATTTTTATTTAATGTAACGAATATATTTTACTCTCTTATAGCGTTACCATCTGGATGGAAACATTTCGAATTTCCTTTTCATAAGAAAAAAGTTTTGTTCTAAAAAAGGATCATTTGGTCCGTGTAGGTTTCATTATTTATTTTCTTTATAACATCAGTAAGTAAAAAGCACGTTCTAGTTATTATTTTGGTGCAAACGATAAATAGAAAAATCAGTAACAATAAAATTGTGCAAATCGTAAGTTTATAATCTGTCTAATTACATTAGTTAGATTATAATTAAGATAGATTATAGTTTTTCTAGTAACATGTTTATTAGTTAACGGTAACCGGTTTTGTAGTTAGCGGTAACGTTTAAATACAATCTGCGACACACACGTCCGGTTTCTGAATAGAAAAACTATTCTCAATAACTTAAGTTTTTTTACTTTTCACAAGGCAAAATGTTTTAGTTTTATCAAACTGCTACAAACTGATTATTAAAAAATAACTGAAATCAGAAGCGAAAAAATGTTGAAGTACAATTTGAGACGCGCTTAACTTAAAATTCTCAATTCAGAAACCGTGTGTAAATCTGATTCCGAGTTAATAATAACGTTATATATGTGAACATGAGTCGTCCAAATTCTTTCTCATATAATTTATGCATGGATAAGAATTATTCAAGAAAAACGTACCACTATACATTACGAATCAATGTTGTATATTAATGTTTATGGTTAAACTAGTTGCTGACAAATTATATCACGTAAAATAATCGTTTATATATGTAATGTTTGTGTTGCACAGCACAATCCACCTCCGCTTATGATAGCAAAATTTGTCAATTGTTTTTATAACAATACACTTTGCACTTTTAAGGTGCTCGCCCACTGCCTCAGCATGCACGCACCGGCCGCACGATACAGGATTTTTAATATAATCTATTGAGTGTCGTGCAGCCTGTGCGTGTGTGCGTTCACTTTAAAAAACTAATCAGATTATTAAACGATCACATTTACCCGATTTATCATAACGTTACCGTTCCATTACAAAACTTAACGATTCATATTTATTTATAGATATTTAAAAAAAGTCTGGACGCCTCATATTCACAACGGTTTTAAAACGTGAAACTGTGACAGTAGTACTAAAATCTCATTTAAGATATTAATATAATATCATAATATATTTAATACTCGTTACAGGTTATTTCAGAAACAATATTAGGATCGTAAGTAAATTATTATCTAAGGGTTTAGTATCAATATAAGCGTCATTAAAGTTCAGTAGTCGAATTGTGCATTTAGCGAAGAATCGAGTCAGTATAAAAAACATTCTCCAAAAATACCGATTATTCTCAGAATATCTTACGGCTCTTTTCAAAGTTGGGAACGTCTCCAGCGCCGCACCTAACAATAAAACGCATTATTAATAAATCATAAATTGAAAGTCGCATTCTAATTGGCCAATAGAGCCTGCATGCGGGTCGCGGCAGATTTTTCACTTTTTTGATCTAAAACACCTGTGTTTCAAAATCTTAAAAAATGTAGCTACCACAAATCCCAAACCTAAGACAGTATAGAAAATTTAATTTTACATATTAAGCCAGACGGGTATCGAACCCTCAGTAAAGAACTATTGAGGTCTGCAAAATATTTCAAGAGAAAATTACTTTTACTATTCCATAGAGTCCAACCTTTAAAAAATTAATACTTAATACATTACGATAGCAAAGATAAATTAAAATTACATGATCTACAAATACATTCGAGAGCAATGAATACGGGTCACTTAAAGAATCCTAAATAACTCGGAAACTAAAAATGCTAGGTTAATGTAATAAATTGTATTTTATAGACAATTTAATACACCTTAAATAAAGGTATTAAAACTTTTTAGTTATTGTAACGTTATATCATAAATCAAATTTAAAAAAGGACCACTTTCGAAGATGGAACTACGAAATTACAGCATTTGTTTTTGCTTTTGTTTGTAATCTGTCATTTATGTGGGTACATAAACCATGTTTATAGTGCTCAATATTCATTATTCAAGCTGAAACCATGTCGCTTACACGTGAAGAATGCACCAGAATACTCACAATGGTCGAAACTGGACGGAGTCAGCGCGATACAGCCAGGATTGTCGGTGTATCGCTGTCAACAGTACAAAGAGTTTTCCGACGTTACGAAGAAGCTGGTTCTAACCTACGCAGGTGTAGCACAGCACGAGAAGACCGATACTTGGTAAACACCATGCTTCGAAAGCGCTTTCTCACAGGAACTGAACTCACAAATCAGTTTCGACGTCTCGGAGGAAGTAACCCAAGCGCATGGGCAGTAAGACGTCGGCTTGCTGAATCTAACTTGAAACCCCTTAGACCTGCAAACGGCCCTAAACTGGAGCGTGGGCATCGTATTTCAAGACTAAGATATGCCCAGAACCACGTTAATTGGAGTATTGAAGATTGGTCAAAAGTTATGTTCTCCGACGAATCAAAATTTATGCTCTTCAAGCACGATGGAAGACACAGAATGTATAGAAGATTCAAGCAAGCATGCATCGAAGAAAAAGTGGCTTACGGTGGTGGTTATGTACTTGTGTGGGCCGGAATTTCTTCTGAGAGTCGCACAGAGCTGGTGATTATAGAAAACGGCTCTTTAACTAGCGAAAGATATATGGAAGAAATCCTCAATGAACACGTGATCCTCAATGATCCATTTATGGTCAATTTGGGTGAGGATGCTATATATTGCTTATGCATGACAATGCCCGACTTCATACAGGTAGGATTGTGAATGACTACCTTCAAGAGATGAACATTACTTGTATAGTGTAGTGGCCAGCGCGCAGCCCGGATCTCAACCCGATCGAGCATGCTTGGGACGAGCTAGGGAGTTGCGTAAAACAACGAAACCCTCCCCCAATCACGCTTCGTGAGCTCAAAATTGCTCTCAAAGAGGAATGGGAGAATATTTCCCAAAATCGTATAAGGAACTTGGTGTTCAGCATGCCAAACCAAGTAAACGCAGTAATGAAAGCACGAGGAGGCAATACGAAGTATCAAAATTCAAAAAGCAAAAGCAGCAGTTTTTTTTATTTATGTAATTTTGTGTAAATAAAATGTGTGGTGATTAATATTTTTTAAATTTCATTTAAGGAGTAATAAATTGTCTAATAAACATAATTTATTTAAATAAGCTAGCATTCTTACTTTCCGAGATTTTTGGGATTCTTTCAGTGACCCGTATTCATTGCTCTCGAGTGTATTCATTCTTTAAATGTCCGCTTCATAAACATAGTAATTCTTGTAAATCCATAATGAGATCAACTTACCCGTGACATCAACTGTTAGAATTGACTTTGCGTCGGTGTCCCGTCAAATGACTCCTCGTTGATCAGCCTCAATTTAACCGACTCCCTCCTCAAGTTGTAACTGGTGGAGATATGACAATGCTTTACATCCACAGTTAGTAAATCCTCATTTAATTCCACGCCACTCCTCTCTACATCCGCTGCTGCACTAGGCTTCCTTTTATGTCTAAACGAAGTAGCCCTTTGAGAACTGGAGAGATAACTGTCGGTTGTTGTGTTTCCATTAAAAGTCTTCTCAGACTGACCGACTCCTAGCTGTTCCAGCTGAATATTACCCCTCAACTGGGCAGAAGTGTCAATACACGGAATCAATTGTTTGAATTCCTTCCTGAAGTTTTCGTTCATCCAAGCATAAATAAAAGGATTGTAACAAGTCGAGGACATGGCGATAACGTGCCCTAAGAAAAATATTAAAAAGTAGTACTTCAAATGAATAGCGTAGATGTAGTAGTCATTACAAAGATTTATCACGTTCAGAGGCAACCATGAAAGACCAAAAATAGTCACCATCGCAATCAACATTTGATTTGTGCGCCGCTTTCGGTTTTTATCTAACTCTTCTTTCCGGGAATTTTTGCTGGCAGCTTTTGCTTTTGCCCTGTCATTCAATTTGAAGCTGACGCATGTATAACAAAATGCAATCACGATAAACGGCAATACAAACTGCAGAAAAGATGTCACAGATCCGAATATGCGCCTTAACTTTTCCGTGGGCCATGTCTCTTCACAGAATCTTCCTATATCCAAATCGTAATAGGTCATGAATATGGCGTATGGCAATGTAACTGTCACAGAGAAAGTCCATATCATTATGATGACTGTTATGCAAGTCTCAATCTTCATTCTCGGTCTAAAGGGGTAAATGATTACAAAGAATCTATCAATAGCAATAGACATTAGAGTCAATGTGGATATGTATACGCTGCACCCTTGTGCGAAAGGCATTATGTGACATAATAGCGATCCCCAACTCCAAGAGCCGCGGAAAGAATACAAAGGTGTAAAAGGGACAGCGAAAATACAAAGCAGAATATCTGATAAAGCTAAGTTACTAATGAATAAATTGGTGACTGTTTGCATCGCTTTATTCCTGATCACAACAAAACAAACTAGAAGATTCCCAACCAACCCTAAAACGAAAATAATGGTGTAGATAACGCAGAATAAAGCTTGGACAATTTTGTTGTCAATTATATTTTCGTATCCAGTATGCGGCGAAGGTAGACTGTCTGGCGTCCCATTACGATATTTTTCCGATATATTGGTGAGTATTGTAAAATTCAAATCTGTGTCGTTCATTTCTTTAGCTGAATAGCTCTTTCTTTGAGGTAGGTTTATTGCTTCTCAGATTTAAGGTAACTTTAGCCGGTCACTGGAGATATACCGTCGTTAGCGCCTGTAACAAAAGGAATTGATTTAACTTTTTATGTCTCATAAATCTGTGTGAAGTTGGAGGGGTAAATTGCGCTGTTCATGGAAGGCAACAGAAACAAATCGTGTACTTCTGTAGGTATCATAAAATATATCTGAAAACTTGGCGGTAAACAGTGTTGATGGATGATCCGAATATATCAGTCTTATATGTTTTGTTATAGTCAGATGAAAGTTTAAGAAATCCTCGAAGATCTGCAGTAGGTGAAAGAATTTTCAAAATAGTTCCAACGATTAAAAAAAAATCTTTCCTCTTATATAACAACACCATAATCTTTCTTTATAAATTCCTGTTTAAACTAGATAAATTCAAAAACTTTAAAAACTAAAGGTATAGTTCAAAATGAACTGCAGAAATTTGCCATATTGTCGTACATGATATGCGGGTGGCACGTAGATAGATCGGATTTGTTAGTATTTTTTGTATTTTAATGCTAATAAAAAATAATGTATCTCATAAAATAAAAAAATATATTAAGTTCAAATAACAAAAAATCTATAATCTCTAAGCCATCATTAAACAACGAGATTACTACGGCAAATGAGGTTTTATAACAAACTAAGAACGCAACTCCAATTTACAATATTCACCGAGCGTTCCGCCCGCATGGTTGGCGAGGTTCAATTCATTTCAATATTTGCTCAGTGTTAGCTGACCCAATAGAATGTTGCCATGATTAAATTTCAAGATTTAAATATGGAATTGAAATTGATAAAAATATTTTTTCATTCCTTTAAATTAGATGTCTTTCGGTTTGTGTAAGCTTTTATAAAATGTTGCCTTATAAATGCACTTCCCAAGATCACATATAAAATGGATCTTTAAGATCTCGTTTTGAACCATTGTGGTTGGCTTCAAAATTGAAATTTTTTATATATTTTTTTTTATTCTTTTGTTTTTGTAATGAAAAATTGACCTAGTAAAGTCAGTTGCTTATTAGTCATAATTCATTCATATTGTTACTATTGATTTGATAATTTCTTCGTAATTATTTTAAAACATTGTTACATCGTTTAGAACTGATGATTTTCTTTCACTCGTTCTTCTTATAAGCCAAACGACATCATGAACGGATGGCAGGAAAAAATTTGGACTCTTAAAAAGAACTTTCAGTATGTTCATTTTCAATAATGATTGTTTTATTTTTGATTTTAATTGCGCGAAATTATTGTAATGCATGCCCTGCTGTGTACCATATTCAAAATCACTAAGTGAAATAGGTATTCATACTAATATTAGTTGTATACAATGTACCTACTTTGTTTTACTTTTTGTATTAAATGAAATCCGTTTATATTTTCGTGAATATTGTGACTTAATAAAGCGGATTAAAAAACGATAAGAGTAAGGAACTTTGTAGGCACCATTATTGTAATATACAATAATTCACTGACAAAAAATTTAATGAGATAAGGATACAGTCAAAAATGACTCTTCAAAATTCAATACTCTTCCGCAAATTGGAGATCGATTTACAAAATTCTTTTTTTCTTCTAAAATCCATGATCGGTTATAATGATCATATTATTTTACAAAATTAATAATATTGCACACAGCAGAACAAAAAATAAGTTACAGAGTATCACAAAAAACACCGCCTTTGAGATAAGTTTTGTCTTTATTTTTATATAAACCTTGATTTTGTTTTTATTACGATAATTGTAAGTATGAGGCCACTTAAGAATCAATAAATAGTAATTAACAATGCTGATTAATATCTGAAATTTCAAAATATAAGTGTACGTCAACATGCTGTTTATCCAATATGGAATGACCATACTGCTCAAGTAGAATAGATTTGCTAGGACTGCGTTTATTCTTTTCATGTGACTTAAAACACAAATCTGGCAACCCCCACCGCGATGCTTTAACGAGTTTCGTGGTTAAACGTTTATTTAGTGAGTTTGTTTTATTATTGTTCATTTCGTTTGTGAAACATCTCTCCATAAGCCTTATTTAAATCACATTATGTAACATTTTTATTACCAACAAAATAACGATCTATTCAAATAATATTTAGTTTCTGTATGTTCCTCTTTGAGAAATTCAAATAACAGTAACATATACAATACAAAAATTTACTTAAATGTATTTTATTTAGGAACAGACTTTCAAAAAAGTTTTGAATCCAACTACATGTATTTTCGTGTCATTTGTGGGTAGATTTTAACGGTATATCATGCCTATATTATTATTATATTATGCTGAGTGACCGTTAGGGTTCATTTTTTCTAAAAAATCAACGATCACTCCGTTCTCTGTTTATCTGTCTCAGTCAATTTTCGCCAATACTACTAAACCGATTAAGTTGATTTTTGTTGCACATATGTAGATGACTAATGCAAATATGGCTGTATAACGTATACCTATAATTTAATATTTGTGCACAACTCTTTTCACGCGTATTCGATTCGCTTAAAGTCAATTTATTTTTTAACTAGCTTTTCGCAAACAGCTTCGCCTCCGTGGTCGTGTATTATACATAAAAAGATTCCTTTTGAATCTCCCTATCTATTAAAAAAATCCGATGCGTTTGTTTAAAGATCTAACCATACACAGGGACAGCCGACGGAAAGCAAATTTATATTATACTAAGTATTTATTCAAATTCAATGTAATTTTTTTAATTCAGCGTAGGCCGTTATAAGAACTTGTGATGATCGCAAAGTGAGTCGCAATACCATATTATTGGTGTGAAAATCTACTGTCTTGAAGATAATGGTTTGTTGACTTTATTCACACTAAAAAAAATATTTCTGTGCACGAAGCATTTCGTCCATAAGCTTTCGTACACGAAGCGCCGCATATAAATCCGCTACGGCAGTGACTAATGCAGCTACGACCGTAGAAAATGTAGCTACGATCGTAGCTAATGTAGTTACTAATATAGAATAACTAGCTTTCCGCCAGCGGCTTCGCCCGAGTGGTCTCTTATTATACATGAGAACTTTCCTTTTGAATCACCCTATCTATGAAAAAAAAAACGCATCAAAATCCGTTGCGTAATTTTAAAGATTTAAACATACATAAGGATATATATAGGGACAGAGAAAGCGACTTTGTTTTTTACTATGTAGTGAAGATATTATGTACGATTCTATACTAAATTAGGATGATACAATAAATATTTTTTTAGTAAACCATGTAGAAATAATATTATTTCATTAAAATATTTTTTAGGAAATCAATAAAAATATTATGATTCTATTCAATTTTACGGACATTCTTAAATACATCCTTGAAACATAATGGCTTTTCAAAAGATTACGGTAGGCCTCTTGGACGTTCTTTAATTGACAAGGAAAAAGGGCACAAGATGGTTATCAGCTCTTAAAGTAACGATTATATAAACCTGTGCTTTTAGTAAGTAGACATCAACGTTTAAAAAAAATATATAAACGCAAAAAGATGTCTCATAATTATCCGTATTCCCGTTTATTTTATTAGAAATACCAATAATTTACTTCTATGTACATCTTTTACGTAAACATCGTATTTCACAAAACACATAAGATGGTCGTTTATTTAAAAATATTGGATTCAGCTGTAGTAAAAGTCAATACCGCAGAATTTATGACGCCCGCTCTTACCTTAAGTATGGATAATACGCGCATATCTCATAATCTGACAGCTTGTAACCATCACAAACTCTGTTCTGTGAATGTCTGTGATCATCCTCTTTCGTTGCGTTTTCATCATAATTTTCATCTATGTTTTAGATATACAAACTTTGTACATCTGTTATTTTAAATTCTTCTAATTCGTTATTTAAAATTCTTGACACATTCATATTTTGAATGTCAGTACGTTCTCAGTTCTTTGCATATTTATTTATGAACACTAAATTCAAGAAAATTTAAGAATCGTGTTTGTGCAATCAATACTAAATTTCCTTATTAGTAAATTATGGAAATCACAATGTAGAAAAGTTAACAATGGACCAAGTATCTAGTACGTGGCTCTCTTATTTATAATAATATTATAAAGAGAAAAGGTTTGATCGTTTATTTGTTGTTTATTTGTCTGTTTGCATCGAAAAGGCTCCAAAACTACTTGACCCATTTCAAAATTCCTTTCACCTACGGATAGCTATATCATGCGTGGTTGAAACAGACTATAATTTACGCGTGCGAAATCACGGGAAAACAGCTAGTTTGTAATAAACATCTTATCCTTCTCCGTCTTTATTATTTTTAATCTTTTCTCTACCGATAAAGGACACTTTACCCTTTGAATTAAAGTTTAATATCATATTTTGAATGGTATTGTCATATTTTCTTATTTCGTAATTCGTTAATATTATTAATGACAATTATTGATATGGCGAAGCCTTCATAAACATACAAGAAACCTGTTAATTAGACTCAACCATGTGAAA